AAAAAAAAATTTGGTAATGATATGTCTGATAAGGGACTTATATCTAAAATTTATAATGTACTCGAGCACCACAACAAGATAAAGGTAAACAACCCTATTGAAAAATTACACAGGATCTAAACAGACACCTCACCAAAGAAGACATTCAGATGGCGAACAAACACACGAAGAAATGTTCAAAATCCCTAGCTCTAAGAGAGATGCAAATGAAAACAACTGTGACAGATGATCTCACCTCAGTAAGAAAAGCAAAATTTAACAGAACAGCAAACAACAAATGCAGGTGAGGTTGTGGAGAAACTGGAACCCTTATTCACTCTTGGTGGAACCGTTATTCACTCTTGGTGGGAGTGTAAAATGGTGTAACCACTATGGAAGCAGTATGGCATTTTCTCAAAAATTTGGAAATAGAAATACTATATGACCCAGCTTTATTCACAATAACAAAGAGTTGAAACAACCCAAATACCCATCATCAAATGAATGGATAGAGAAACTGTGGTACATTCACACAATGGAATGCTATACTGCATTGAAAAACAAGGAACTCATGAATTATTATACAAAACGGGTTACCCTGGAGGACATTATGCTGAGTCAAATATCTCAGTCACAAAAAGACAAATACGGCATAATGCCACTGTTATAAAACAGGACTGACATGGGTGTTGGGGGGAAACTAAGAAAATAAGGGATAAATAAGGTAGACAGCATTAAAAGAGATGAAAGAACTATATAAAAGGAATATATGATTAGGTATTATTGGCATTACAAGAGTCCAGAATAAGAGCTGCATAATAAAATGGTCTGGGTGGTTACTGTATAACAATGAAAGAACTTTTTTCCTCAAGAAAAAAAACTATGGGGGGGGGCAGTAGGCAGGAAAATGTGCAACAGTGAATAATTGGAAACCCAACTTATTTATAAACTTTCATTAAAATCTCATTTAAAAAAGAAAGAAAATTATGAGAAAGAAAACCTACTGACTTGGAATAAACATTTTGCAATACCATCTTAGACAAGGGTCTTATAACAAAAGCTTACAGAATACTCCTGGGCCTTCACAAGAAAAAGACTGATAATCCAATTACAAAATGCGCAAGAGACTTTTCACAGAGAATGACATTGGGATGGCCGGACAGAAACATGAAGAAATGCTCCAAATCACTGGCAAATCAAAACAACAATGAGTTACCCTCTTATTCAGTAACAGTGAGAAAGTTTAGCAGAACAGCTAGTAATAAATGCTGGAGAGTATATGGAGAGATACATTGTTGATGAGATTATAAAAGGGTATAACTACACTGGAAGGCAGTATGGCATTTCCTCAAACAGCTGAATATAGAAATTCCATTTGACCCAGCTATTACACTGCTTGGAGTATGTTGTTGTTGTTGTTATGTGCCATCGAGTCGCTTGCAACTCATAGTGACCCTATGTACAACAGCCCTAAACTCTGCTCTGTCATGTGACAATTGCATTGTCTCTGACACTCCCATCCCGATTATCCCAGTCACTGAATCAATCCACCTCATAGAGGGTCTTCCCCTCCTGCACCATGCTTCGACCCTCAGCATGATGTCCCTCTCCAAGGATCAGTACCTCCTTACAACATGTCCAAAGTATGTCAGACGAAGCCTCAGGATCCTTGCCTCCAAGGAGCATCCCGGTTCAATCTGTTTGCTTTCTTAGCAGTCCATGGTACCCTCAACACTCTTTGCCAGCACCACAGCTCAAAGGCATCAATTCTCCTTCTATCCTCCCTAGTCATTGTCCAACTCTCTGATGCATAACAAGTGATTGCAAAGACCATGGCCTGTATCAGATGCACCTTAGTCTCCAGAGAGACACCATTGCTCTTCACTACTTTGGAGAGGTCCCTAACCGAAGACTTTCCCATCACAATATGTCTTTTAATTTCCTGGCTGCTGGTGCCAAGAGTGTTGACTGTGGAGCCAAGCAAACTAAAGCTGTGAACAATCTCAATCTCTTCACCATCCATCCTGATGCTGCCAATTGGTCCTGTGGTGAGAATCTTTGTCTTCTTGATATTGAGCCTCAACCAATATTGAAGGCTGCAGTCCTTGACCCTCTGCAGCAAGCGCTTCAGGTCCTCCTCAGTTTCAGCAAGCAGGGTTGTGTCATCTGTGTAATGCAGATGGTTGATTGATCTTCCACCAATCCTGATGCCACATTTTTCCTCATAAAGCCCAGCCTCCCAGATAACCTGTTCTGCATACAAGTTGAAAAGGTATGGAGACAGGACACATCCCTGGTGTATGCCCTTACCAATTTTGAACCATGCAGTGTTTCCTTGCTCTGTTCTGATGACTGCCTCTTGGTCCAAGTATAGGTTTCGCATTAGCACGATCGAGTGTTCTGGGATTCGCATTCTTCTCAGAGTCAGCCACAGTTTGTTAGGATCCACATAGTCAAATGCCTTTGCATAGTCAATGAAACACAGATCGATATTCCTCTGGTATTCACTGCTTTCGGGTAAGATCCACCTAACATCAGCTACAATATCCCTAGTACCAGGACCCCTTCTAAACCCAGCCTGGACTTCTGGCAGTTCTCTGCTGGTGTGCTGTTTGAGTCGTTTTTGGATGATCTTCAGTAGAATCTTGCTTGCATGTGAAATCAATGATATTGTTCTATAGTTTCCACACTCTGCTGGGTCACCCTTCTTTGGGATGGGAACAAATACAGATCTCTTCCAGTCAGCTGGCCAAGTGGTTGTTCTCCAGATTTCTTCACTCAACTTGGTGAGCATGTCCAGGGCAGCATCTGTTAGCTGAAATATCACCATGTGATTTACAACCTCAAAAACCTGTTGGAGGGTCAATACCTTTGATTTGACTCTGACTTTTGGGAACAGTTACTGATGATTCATAAATATCGTAAAGATTAAATGAACCTTATGTATGTGTGGTATGTGTAAGAAGAGGAGTTTCGGAATAGAGGGTGTAGACACAAAAGCACAGGAAACATTAGGCCCTTATGGCTGGGGGCTGGAAGCCTGCTTTGGGTGGCAAGCCCTATTTCTGCAGAGCTGTAAGCAATCTTGAGTCCACACTATGGAGGGTCTGTGGGTTTTATGACCCAGGGCCAAGGTGAGATTGGCTTCCATGCTGACTGGGTGCCTGGCCAGGGTGGGCCCCAGCCTTCCTGCAGGTCCCATATCTCTTTCTTCTGCACTCAGCTGACTCACGGTGCATGTTGGCTCTTCCCTAAGCCAGATCCTGTGTCAAATGGTCATGCCATGTCCTCCCAGCCAGCTGAGGACAGGGGTGACAATCATTTTGCCAATGCAGAGACTGAGGCCTTGCTCTTCTCAGGTGGTGCTGCTCCTCCTGAGGGTTTCCTGTCTCAAGGCCCTGAGTCCCTCTGTCACTCCTTTTCTGAAGCTGTCTGTCCCCCAGGGACAGATCTTCCTCTCTGAACTTCTCACTCTGGGATCCTGGGTTCTTGAAGCCACCCACCTAGGTTCTGCCTACCAAGGATACCTACTTGAAGGACCCTTTATTTAGTTGTGTGCTGGAAATATTTGTAGTTCATTTAGATTTAGAGGTGGTAGTTTTATGTTTTCCTAGGTTCTTAGTCAGAATCAAGAATTTTGTGAATATTCAATACTAGTGATATTTGTTGTTGTTATTGTTGTTATGTGCCATCGAGTCGCTTGCGACTCATAGCGACCCTATGTACAACAGCCATAAACTCTGCTCTGTCCTGTGCAAATTGCACTGTCTCTGACACTCCCATCCCAATTATCCCAGTCACTGAATCAATCCACCTCATAGAGGGCCTTCCCCTCCTGCGCTGTCTCTCCACTCTCCCAATCATGATGTCCTTCTCCAAGGACCAGTCTCTCCTCATAACATGTCCAAAGTATGTTAGACAGAGCCTTAGAATTCTTGCCTCCAAGGAGCCACCCGGTTTAACCCTTCCCAGGATGAATCTGTTTGTTTTCTTGGCAGTCTATGGTACTCTCTATACTCTTCTCCAGCACCACAGCTCAAAGGCATCAATTCTCCTTCTATCCTTCCTAGTCATTGTCCAACTCTCTGATGCATAACAAGTGATTGTGAAGACCATGGCCTGTATCAAACGCACCTTAGTCTCCAGAGAGACACCATTGCTCTTCAGTACTTTGGAGAGGTCCCTAACAGCAGACTTTCCCATGGCAATGCGCCTTTTAATTTCCTGGCTACTAGTGCCAAGAGTGTTGACTGTGGAGCCAAGCAAACTAAAGCTGTGTACCATCTCAATCTCTTTACCATCCATCCTGATGCTGCCAATTGGTCCAGTGGTGAGAATCTTTGTCTTCTTGACATTGAGCCTCTATATTGTAGGCTGCAGTCCTTGACCCTCTGCAGCAGGTGCTTCAGGTCCTCTTCAGTTTCAGCAAGCAGGGTTGTGTCATCTGCATAATGCAGATTGTTGATAGATCGTCCACCAATCTTGACCCCACATTTCTCCTCATAGAGCCCAGCCTCCCGGATAATCTGTTCTGCATATAGGTTGAAAAGGTATGGAGATAGGATGCATCCCTGGCGTACGCCCTTCCCAATTTTTAACCATGCAGTGTTCCCTTGCTCTGTTCTGACGACTGCCTCCTGGTCCAAGTATAGGTTTTGCATTAGAATGATCAAGTGTTCTGGGATTCACATTCTTCTCAGAGTCAGCCAGTTTGTTAGGATCCACATAGTCAAATGTCTTTGCATAGTCAATGAAACACAGATAGACATTCCTCTGGTATTCTCTGCTTTCAGCTTAGATCCATCTAACATCAGCTTCAATAACAAAATTTAATGTCCAATTTTGTAAATCACTAGTCTGAAAACATCTTTGTCATTCCTGTGCTTTCAAACCTAGCAAATCCTAATGCTGATATGAGCCTGTGAACGTGGGACTTGGGGTGAGTTTGAGAGTAGAGAAAATGAAGGCGGCCCTCCTAGGAAGAAGGCCTTCCCATCCCCCAGGGACCCAGACATACTTACTCTGGAAGTTCAGCTGCAGGGACAGGACATCCTTGAACAGAATGCCCTCCTGCTTTGCCAGCTGCCCAGCCTCCTCTTGAGGACCCTGTTCGGCCACAGCCAGCTTGAGCAGTTCATCATCCATCACCCTCGGCTCCATGGACTCATACAGCCAGTTCATCTTTCTGTCTGCCTTCTGCAAAACACCACACTTCTCTCTTAATGGCTGCTCTTTTTATTTAGGACATGGGTAGGATAGTGAAATCTCCGAGAAAAGGTCCCTGGGATGTCAGGGTAGCCAGAGGCTGATGTCTACCCTGTTCTTTATACCTGAATAGATGCAAGTCCTTCATTCACCTCTCCAAGAGACCCACAGCCCCAGGGACTGGAGTCTTCACTCATCTCTCCTAGAGTCTTAGCCTGCCTCAGGCCTCAGTCTATGCACTCATCTTTGCTTTGGCTTCTTTGCACCACGTTCTGATTGTGTTCCTAGATAGATTGAAGCCTCCTGCTCTATCAGGAAATATTTTATTCACGTACATAGTCACTTTTGTACCTGCACCTCTAACCCCTAAACACTGCAAGCAGCTCAGTGGTGATGACCTGGGCTGGCCATATGTATTTTCCTCCTGAAAAGGATGTCTGCGAGGCTACAGGCTAAGCATGACCATCAGAGGGAAATGTTCAGTCTAGGAGGAACTGACATTGTGGGGTGGGCTGGCATGAGGAAAGCAGAGACAGCCAGAAGATAAGATAGATGGACAGAGGTAGATGCCACCTAGGTTGTCCAGAGACAGAGAGAACGAGGCAAGATCGGAGAGCCCCAGACAGACACACACACACACACACACACACACACAGAGAGAGAGAGAGAGACACGGACAGACAGACAAGGCCAGACAGCCCCAGACAGAAGTTGCTGGAACACCCAGCCTTTGGAGGTCTGGCAGTGAGTCAACTTCTGGTGGCTCCATAAAAGTTTCCCGATTTCTAACACTAAGTCCTCTTACTTAAAGCTAACTCAAGTCAGTTTCTGTTGTTAGGGCTTCATAAGGGGATGATCAGATTTTAAAAAGCTCATTCTGGCTGCAGTACTTAGAAAGGCAAGAACTGTACAGTGAGAGATACTTAGAATGATGAGATGTGGCTTTGAGAAACCTTTACAATTTCTCTTTTAGGATAATAGTTTCCAGAGAAGCTAGACCTAGCTAGAAATATTAAATGGCATGTTTGAGTTTATACATCTACTCTGTGACAGAGGTGGGAGAATACGAATCCAGAGACCATTTCCTCAGTGGTGTGTAGGGCATTGTCACAGTGACACTGATTTCTCACTCCTGCCCTAGGTCAGGACAAAGGCATGGACACAACCAGACCCAGGGTGCACTGATTCTGCCACTCTCAATCCTGTAGTCAGAATGATCCACTGACTGGCTTGGTCACCTGTTGCTCATTTGCAGAGAATTGTGCTGGAATGGTGAGAGATGTCAGAAACCTGTGCTGTTGGCCTATCTAAACTCGCTGACCTAAATAGAAACTCTATTTTAAATTAAGTAAAAATTTTTAATTTCTCCTTCTAAAAGAACCTATTCATTCTTTTTTCTTTTTTTAGTCAAAGTGTTATTTGTAAAACAAAGACAAGACAGGAATTATAATTTGGATAAAGTATTGCTTAGTGGTTGTTAAAAATGTTTACTCAGACTGTGAGAGAGATAATGCCTTAGTTAGCAAGAGGTTAGGAAATAGAACTGCTAATATGAAGAATGAAAAAAATTATGTTGTTCTAGTACTGTGTTGTTGAATCTACAACGACTCATCACCACCCTATGAACAATGGTTCTGAACCTTGCCTGGCCATATCCTGAGCCAACCTCTTCATCTCTGACCCACCTGCACGCATTGTCACAATCACTGTCTCATTCAGGATCTTTGTCTCTTGCACTGACCCTCTACCCTTCCAAGTATAATGTCCTTCTCCAAGGAAATGGCCCTTCCTGACAACATGCCCAAAGCAACCTGGTTTCACCTTGTCTAAGATAGAAGTGTTTGTTAGGTGCCAGCAAGTTAACTCTGACTATAATGACACTTCAGATCAAAACCTTGCCCAATCCTGTGCCATCCTCCTAATCTCCACTGTTTTGAAGTAATTGTGTCAGTGTGACCCACTGCCATCACAGCCAAGGCAGGGACCTGTAACAAGTTCTTCATCCTTACTCCTAAAATACATTTTCACTTACTGAGTTTTCCCACAGATTTCTGACAGTTTGTTGATTTTTTTTTTTTAACTTGCTACACAGAAATGGAGATTACAGCTAAAAAAGCCTTGGCTGTTTTTAACATAAAGACTGCAGAGATTTGGCTTGGACTTGTGAAAAATCAACTTGCTATTTTAACTACCCTTAGTGACCTGGCTCACTTCCATTGCCAGGGGGTAACTTTCTTTCACATTTCAAAAGCTTCAGATTAAAGTTGTTTCAACCTTTATTCTTAAATCTTAACCTGAGTCCTTTTACATCTCAAGGACTTGAAATGTTACTGATCTGAAATGCAAACAGTCACAAGACCCCCACATTAAAATATTTAGACAGTTTTAGAAATACTGCTATGGACTGATCATAAGAAAGTTTGTAGCTTAACAACTCCTAGTAAATTGCCCTTCCTTTTCCTGAACCTCCTTTTGATGTGAAAAACTTTGTTTGCTTTGCAAAAAAAAAAAAAAAAATCAGCACCTCTCAAGCTGGCCAGGACACATACCACTGTATCTTGTTGGAGAATGCTGTTGTGTGCTCCCAATTTGTGAAATTAAATTATTTCTTCAATTAAATTTGTGTTTTCGTTTTTGGTAGAGCACAAATCACTGAAGTCCCGAGGTAAGAGGTGGGGAAGCCACTGAAAAATTTTTTTATACCACTGTCACTGGAGTAGCCTCTTCAATGAGAAATAGATTCTGCATTATCTTGAGAAGGAACAACCTGGTGTAAGGTCCTGTTGTTGTTGTTGTTGTTATGTGCTACCGAGTCAACTATCACTCATAGTGAACCTATGCACAATAGTCCTGAACTCTGTTCTATCCCAACTCAATTTCACTGTCTCTGACCCATCTACCCACATTAGACCAGTTACCATGTCAATCCACGTCATTTGAGGTCTTCCTCTCCTGCACTGTCCCCCACTCTTCCAAGCATGATGTCTTTCTCTAGGGATTGGTCCCTCATGGGAACAAGCCCAAAGTGTATGAGACAGAGCCTCAAAACCCTGGCTTCCAAGAAACAGCTTGGTTTCACCCTCTCTAGGGTGAGATCTGTTTGTTCTCTTGGCAGCCCATGGTATGCTCAATACTTTTCTCTGGCATTACAACTCAAAGGCATTAATTATTTTGTCAGTTTTTGTCACTGTCCAGCTCTCTGATGAATAACAGGACTGCGAAGACCATAGTCTGGATCAGATGCATCTTAGTCTCTAGACTGACATTGCTGCTCTTCAGCACTCTGGGAAAAGTCCGTAACAGCAGATTTTCCTAATGCAAATAATCTTTTGATTTCCTGACTGCTGGTGTCAAAAGTGTTGATTGTGGATCTAAGCAAGCTGATATTGTTAACCATTTCAATCTCTTCTCTATCTATCACAGGGCTGGAAATTGGCTCAGTGGTGAGAATCTTTGTCTTCTTGATGTTGAGCTTCAATGCATAGTGAAGACTACAATCCTTGACCTTCTGCAGCAAATGCTTCAGGCTCTCCTCAGTTTCAGTAAACAAGTTTGTGTCATCTACATAACACAAGTTGTTGAGAAGTCTTCCTCCAATCCTGATGCCACATTCATCCTCACAAAGTCCAGCCTTTCAAATGATCTATTCCACATATAGATTGAAAAGATATGAGACAGGACACATTCCTGACACACTCCTTTCCTGATTTCGAACCATACAGTGTTTCCTTTCTCTGTTCTGACAACTGCCTTCTGGGCCAAAAATAGGTTTTGCATGAGCAAAAGAAAATGTTCTGGGATTCCCATTCTTAGAGTCAGCCACAATTTGTTGTGATCCACACAGTCAAAAGCCTTTACATAGTCAATGAAACACAGGTAAGACATTCCTCTGGTACTCTCTGCTTTTGACCAAGATCCATCTGACATTGGTAATGTCTCTAATGACATTGTATATCCCTAGTGCCATAGCTCTTCCAAACTCAGCTTGTATTTCTGGTAGTTCTCTGTCGGAGTGCTGTTCCAGTTGTTTTTGGATGATCTTCAGGAGGATTTTACTTGTGAGCTATATTAGTGATGTTGTTTGAGAATTTCCACATTGTTAGATCACTTTTTTTTTGGAATGGGAATAAATATGGATCTCTTACAGTCAGTTGGCCATAAGTTGGGGATAAGATCTTAGAGATCTTTAGAGGAGGTTTGAATGTCTTTATTCCCTGGACAGGGAAAATGAGATTGGGGTAAGGGAAGGACTTGTTCAGTTTTACAATGGGATACTGACAGCAATAGACATAGAATGTACATTCTCAAGCAAAGCCTTTTAAAGATACAGCTGTAGGATGAAGAAGAAAAATATGAAAAGACACAGTTCAATTAAATTAATTGATTACCTTGGAAGAAATTATCAGTGGCCAAGTAAATTTCTATGAAAAGGATAAGGTCAAGAGAGAGCTTGATCCTTTAAAAAGGCTTCTGTTCTTGTCACCTGAAAAAAAGCTTCTTGAGCATTTCTTTTTCTTTAAAGATCTGAAAACTCCATGGTTAAAATGCCTTACTTCTATTTGTTTGTCAGTTTGCTCTAGGGTGGCGACCTGCATAATGCTGTGATACAGGAATCTATGCCACCCATATTTCAAATAACAGCAGAGTCACCCACGGTAGACAGGTTTTAGAAGAAGTTCTAGACAAAGACAAACTAGAGAAATAGGTTTGGTCATTCACTTCTGAAAGAAGAGATCTTCAAAAAGCCAATGAAGAACAAAGAAGAACAGTGTTATCGTGTGAGAAGATAAGCCACTCTGGTTGGAAGACACTCCAAATATGACTGCGGAAAAGCTGCCGCGTCAAAGTAGAGTCACTGTAATAACAGAGTAAGGTATTACCCAAAGAAGGACCTTCATTTGCTTGTGTAGCAAGACTCAACATGAGGAGAAATAGCAGTGAATACTCATTAATAATTAGAACATGGAACATACAAA